GCTCCCTGAGGTGAAGGGGGAGCGCTCTGAGGTGTGGGTTGCTCCCTGAGGTGAAGGGAGGCTCCTCCCTGGGGTGAATAGGGGTGTTTCCTGAGGTGTAGGGTGCCCTGAGGTAAGGGGGTTGCTCCCTGAGGTGAAGGGGATTGCTCTCTTGAGGTGTGGGGTGCCCTGAGGTGAAGGCAGACGGTGCTCCCTGAGGCGTGGGGTGCTGTGAGGTGAAAGGGGTATGCACTCTGAGTTATAGGGAGGGTGCTCTGAGGTATAGGGTGCCCTGAGATGAAGGGGGAGTGCTCCCTGAGGTGTGGGGTACCCTGAGGTGTAGGGGGTGTTCCCTGAGCTATGGGGTGCCCTGAGGTGAAGGGGGAATGCTCCTTGAGGTCTGGGGGGCGTCTGAGGTGAAGGAGGGGTTATGAGGATGCCTGAGGCTGTCCTTGGGCTGATGGATGGAGGGTCTGTGAGACAAGGGGGTTTTGAGCACTGTTCCCGTGGGCTGGTAGGGAGATGAGAGGGTGAAGTCCCCTTTGCATGGGGGCAGAGGTCAGTGACCCTCTCCTGCCTGTACTGGAGAGTCGATGGGGGGGGGTCCCTCTCCCTGAGAGGCTGTGCCCGTAGAGGTGCTGGATGTAAACTAAAGCTGGCAGTTGCAGCACAGATAACACCCAGATAAATTTGCTTTTAGCTTGGCTCACTGATGGGGTGGGGGCAGCTGGAGTGCTCTCTCCTCTCCTGCTGTGTCTCATAACAGAGTGTGTGTGGGGGGTGAGCATGGATAAAACATACCGTGTATTCTGAAAAGTCGTGAAACGTTCCCTCCCCATCACATCCTTCCTTCAGCTAACTCTGTTTTTCCTGTTTGCTGATAGTTGGCTTTTGGTTTACTGGGCAACCGTCCCACGTTTTAATTTCGGAGAGCATTAGGAGCAAGGTTAAGTGAGGAAGTCTAGGCTCTGCATGAGGGTTTAGCAATCTATCAAACTAAGTCTGTGCCCTTTCCCCTCTTGCATGCAGTGACTTTTATCGTATGGGAGCTTAAGCGGTAGTGGTGGAGGGGGCAATAATTACTTAGCAAAGGCATGCTTTTCTTTAAAAGTACTGTAAGGTGTGAGTCTGCACTTGAAGTTTTGGTTCATTGCCTCTGTGCAGTCAGTGTTATTAAGAAGTAGACACACGCTCCGAGTTCCTTGAGCTACATATTACCAGGTATGAAAATGAAGAGTTATAGAGAAAAATCAATAGATGTTAACTTGAAATAGAGATATAACTACTCCTCGGATAAACATGATTTACCAGACATCCATTTAGGGGCAAAGGGAAGGAATGGAGGTGGCTCATGGCCACTGGAGCCATGTAAGTATTGACCCTAATTTGGGAGCAAGTACTTACTGTAAAATGTGGGCCTGTTCTATGTTAATGAACTTAAACATGAGCACTCCTTTGGGTGAACTGTACAGGGAGCAGTGGATCTTCAGGAGATGAAGTGTGGCCTTCTCCCTGCTGAATTTTTGATTGTATTCTTTCCCAGACTTGTGCAAGAACCAAGTGAACGCTGCAGGGAGAAGCCTTAGTTATTAGTCATTGGGCTTCATTTGTGAAAGTGAGACCGAAACATAGTCTTTTTTTTCTAGGAGCAGAAGCTTTTGTAGGAGCAGAAACTGAATCATCAATTATAGGATGTTCCAATCGAGTAAATATTTAGTTTAAGTTATGTAGGATGGGTGCTGAAGAAATGTTAATTGTAGCAAGTGTAAGTCTGTGACAAAGTCTGAGGTATTGTTTTGCTGTGTGCTGTGCAAATATAAGGACCATGTGCTGACGTATCTGTATGCTGTGTCAGTGCTTGCAATCAAATCAAGAAGCCCTGAAAGTACACTGATAACAAATCATCCTCTTTCACTGTATTATCCGAGCTTAAAAGTCTGTTACTGAATTGCAAGATACCTTACCTTGAAGGGGCTATCACCCTGGAGATGTTTTACTGCAGAATCATGAAAAAGAATGGAAAAGTCATTCCAGTCTATTGTACCACTTCTATAATGCAAAAGTCTGGCTGATCCGACTGTGGTGCTACGTAATGCAAGGTAATTTCTTCTACCTGCCAGCACAGAAATTGACTCGGTGATTTGTTTTAGTACATGATTTTCTCTAGAACACCCGGTGCTGCATTTTTTGAGTATCAGGATGAGAGGAAGATGGTCTGTGTGACGGATATAAATCTC